AAACAGAAATAGCTTTAACCAATTTTTGAATTAATTGATGAAAGTTCAAAATTTCCAATTCTGTTATTACAATTGTACAAAATAAGGGTTTCAAGTTTAGTTCTGATTAATTTTTTGTATAAATATGGGAATAAATTTTACAATGCTTTAAAGGGGAATTTCAAAATTATTTCAAATAATTTTTCATATAAAATTTCTGTTTTACTTAATGGAAAGTTTTCAATTTAAAAGTACGAGTAGAATTTTGTAAGGATTGAAATTGTAATTTTGTACGGATTGGAATGCAAAGTTAGAATTTGGAAATATATGTTCTGATAATAATATCATATGCACAAGACACTTGAATAGCGATTAGAATACCTAAGTAATTCTTTTTAACTTTTTAATAATGTACTTTTATAAGAAGAATTTGTGTTTAAAATTTATTTCCTTAAACATTATAAGCTTATAATGTACGAAACTTTTTTAAAGAACAATAATATAATTATTTTCAAATAACTTCTTTATTTGTAATACAGTGATAATGATTAACACGACAATCAAATTAATTTTGCAATAATAGTCTAACTCGACATAGACAGCTGTGTAAATTCTTATATATTAATAAATTTTTCAATAATTTTGATTGGCAATAAGATGCCAAAAAACATAAATAAGATGTTTTCTGCTCTTAACTATATTTAGACAATTATTTCCTTTGCACATAACTACTATTTGTTACACATTTCGACTTAGGTGATATATAAATGCGCAATAACTTCGGCTATGATAATCGTAGCATAACCATATTTTGTGAGAATACAGAACGGGAAATGAAATATTGAATTATATACATAACTCATTTTTGTTTTATTTCAAGTTAGGTGGTTTGTGTTTGAAGCAATAAATTTTACATTCACATTTGAATGTACGTATCTAGAATTATCGTTTAGTTAATTATGAAAAATTATTCGGCACACTCGAATAAAAACTGTCAAATATGTTCATGTTCATTCACATGTTCGGACACCATGTTCATGAATGAAGAATTGACACATTAATTCTATGTATATAAATTGTAAAAAACTAGCCCAATTATAACTGCACTTCCTTTGAAAGCTTTTTAAGCAAAGTAAGAAAAACGCAATGAACTCAATGAAAACTTTATTCGAGTGGTTTAACAGTTGTCGGCTTTAACTTTGTACATTTAGTTTACTTCCATAAGAAATAGCGTAATTTATTTCAGCTCTCAGAGCTTTTCGAGTAAATTAAGTAGCTGAGGCAATGATAAGGTCATTTTCTTAGCTCTCGTTAGCTTTACATAAACCAACGAGAAAAAAAACATCATTAAGATTTTTTTGGCAATTTTGTGGTAGTTAGTTTTGTTTTTGTCGGAAAACGTATTAATCGGTTTATAAAATTATGTATACTTTCATTAATATTATTAATCCGTTTCAAGTTAAATTTTAAGAAAAAAATAATAGTATTAATGAACAAATTAATTAATAATATTAAAAATATTGGCCAAATATTTATAAACGTGATTAATTATCTCAATGAACTATTTGTTAAAGATTTTTGAATCAAATTCTTTTAATAAACAGATTTTAATAATATTGATGAAAAATTAATTGTGCCAATGTACAAATTTTTAATTAACGCAGTTAATAAATACTATGTACTTTTTTTTTTCTGTGTACATACACATACGTATGTAAAAAATAAATTCAGAGTTTTCTGTAACTAAAGCTGATTGCCTTATATATTGTGTCCTACTGTCTATAAATATCAAAAAATTAACTTCAATAATTTACAATAGTGTCTCTTTTTCCTTATCTTTAATACGCAATTGATTTATTTGTATATGGTTCGAATTGTATGTATACACCATTTCTAAACAAAAATTGTTCTCCATGCTGTATGTATAAAGCAGGACAAATCAGTTATAATCAGTTAATTTAAAAGTACTTGGATATTTATTGTTCTTTTTTCTACAACAATGAAATTCAATATTTGTTTTCTTTATTAAATGATCTGATTACAACGGACATATCAGATTGTATGAAATTGGAACTTTTGATTTATAAAACGATCACAAATTCTTGATCTTTTAAATATATGCACCATTGAGTTACTGTCAATCTCACATACAAAAATGGGCCCATTAACTCTCACATTCCTAATGGGCAAAATAAATTGAGATCTATGACCAATTAACTCTCACATTCCTAGTGAGCAAAATAAACCGAGATCTAGGACCTTAAGTAACTTTATTTAAATCTTGCGAAAGTCAGTTTCTTACACCGAATTGCAAGATCTGAAAATTTTGCCATTTCTAGGAGTTGAATAGATCGCAAAATTAAGAAAACGTAAACCTTTCATAAATGTCTCAAACTATAAGTCATTTTCCTCAACAACTAGGTGTTTCTCGAAAATATCAAAAAAATAATGGTTAAACCTGTCACTTACTAGGCCACCCGGGTTTGTGTAACGAATTATCAACAGTTCTTCATGAACTCGAGCTCTGGTACTAATTTTGTTAAGACGCGAAATTTTTCCGAAACTTCTTTATTTTTTCCTTCCTCTTCTAAGCAAATAATAAAAGCCTGATTTGAAATTTTTTTATTAAAATTTATGATCGAAAGGAGAACGTTTTAATGAAATCTAGATATTTTTTCCTTGGTAAAAATTAGGCTATTATTTTAACGATGGTAATTTGATCCTAATTTTATTTTAAAAAAAAAATAGTTTTAAATAAACATCCGTTGTTTTCAAACTTTTTCAATTTTTAAGAACGTTTTCGTGAAAAATTTAGAAAAACTGTAAATTATTCCAAAATGTTGTATGCTTAAATAGTTTTCTTAATTATTATTATTGCCCAAATATAAATATTTTTTTAACATTCATTTTTGTTTACATTCATTTGAAAATCTTCATCGAATTTCCAATTTAAATTCTCGGCATTAAATTCTGAACAAATTGAATTTAAAATTTTGAGAACCTTTTCTTACGGAAAAAAATATACTTTAAACACAGAAAAAGAAATGAAATTCATCGTTTAATTTTATTGTATAACAGTGTAAAAATAACGTATCTTTATTACATTCGCTTGAATGTTTTAAATTATTATAAATTGGTTTGTAAGGATGCAAGGTGATTGAAATTAATTAGATATTTTAAAAAGTTTTTATTTCTTTCATTTTTTTTTAACTGTAGTATATAACACTATAAAAAGTTTGTTTATATACTTTACGTATGTACGACGTACAATGTAATATATATAGAGCTTTTTTATGTTCCTTAATATTACCCCGAATTAAATTCCATTAGTTGCACTTGAGTCTACCTGTTCTTTTATTTTTTCAATGTTTTAATTCTTGGCGTGTGAAGTTGGTAATTGAAATTTTTTATTGAATTTTTTCTTCCTCACTTAAGTGCTATATTATATATATCCAGTTAAAATTTGTTATACGTATACATAGAATTTATTCTTGTATAAATGATAAATATTGGTACCATTTATACATATGTGAGTGAAAGATAACAGGTGTTGCTCTTATATTAGAGAGTATGGAGCAAAGTAATTGTGGAAAATGTAAAGAAAATAACGTATGTAGGTAACTTGCTTTTAAATATAGTCTGTATATTAAATAGGTTACGACAAATTTTAGTTTAGGTAAATTTAGACTTTATAAAACTTCAGGTTAAAAAAGAAACTTTAATGAAATAATTGAAAAGTGTCAGGAAAGATTCGAGAAATAGTTCAGTGTTAATACACAATCATCTCTTAAAACAAAATAGGTAGAGTAAATGCTACGCAATTGAATTTAAGTTGAATAGGACTCAAATTATTTATTCAATGCTGCAATTGTCTCATACGGACATTGACTATATCATAATCTGATATGAATTTATTTAATTTTATATTGGATTACAGTAAAAAACAAATGATGTAAATTAAAACTTTTGTTAAAAGTTAAAGGATCTTCTTAGAAAATTGCGTACTTTTAGGGATTTTCAATATTGCAAATTTCAAAGTAATTTTTTAATAATCATATAATGAAATATATTGTATTAATTAGCGGAAAACTTTTAAAAATATTTGTATGATTTGAATACCGTAAAAATAATACCGTATAAATGCTGAAATATGTTCCGTAGATAAAAATAAATTTTTATCAAGAAATTATCGAAAAAGATATAAAAGTAAAACATTATTTTTGAATTCGCGAAAATTCTGAACTATTTGATATTATACCCGATCTATAAATAGTTATACAATTATAATTATATGTTATGATATAATTATAATTATATGTGAAGAGTTATGAAGAGTAAAAAAATTACTGAAATGTGATGCCTGTCACTCAGTGTAAATAGTCCAAGATATTTACGGATATGATAACGAAATTTTATAGTGCATTACGGAACTTGGATGGAAATATAATATGACCAAGATAAAATGTGGTTTGAAACTTCTCGATCAATTTAAGTATCTTGTTAAGGTGCGTTGTGTAGTATATCAAATGACATTGACCGAAGCTCGAAAAAAGTACTTGCAGGCAAAACTTTCAAACTGCGCTGAAAGCTGAAGTGAAGTCTTCCCATTTTATTTTTAATTCCGAACAATATTTAACTATAAATTATTGAACTCATAACATTGGTATTAACAATTTTCACTATTATTGTAAAAATTTAAAAAATTATTATTTGTTTCTGAAACCGAACATAATATTTTCCAATTGCTAAAAAAATTACAACGAAAAAAAAACAGTGCTCACTCAATTCCTTATTATTTTAAAGCAAAAAGAAAATTAAATTTTTTTTTCTAATGTTATTCAAATTAAATTAATTTTCAATCAAAACTATTTCTATAAATACATGTGCACACATAAACACATACATGCATAAAGAAAATACCTTAAATTGAAAAATTTTTTAATTTATTATTACTCTTTTTTTTTGGTCTCCATTTTTTTTTATTTTTTATTAAATTATGTATACTTTCTATTTTTTTTTAGACCTGCACGAACTGATGTTCCATCAATGTATATAGAAGAGGATGGTTTCAATGAAGAAGAAATGGTTCAACGTCCAGCTGATATAAGACAAAGTCATACAACAGCAGTTCAAGGTCCACGTAGTAGTCGTTATGTTTCAGAAGGATTTGTACAATATTCTCAGCCCAGTTTAAATGGTATTCCATATTCGATTTATCATAAATTGTAGAAAGTTTTATAATAATAAAAATGATTTGTTATTTTTAATTTTTATTTATTTCTATTTTATTTTATGTTTTTTTGTGTTTTAAATAATATTTTTCTTTTGTCTGATAGTAGCCGGTCTTATTTTTATTGCATATATTTTTCATTCTTTTTGTATCGTACAGTAGAATAAAAAATATCTTTTGTTATTTTATAATAAAAAAAAAACTATTATTAGAGAAAAAAAAGCATCAAAAATATAGCAAATTAAACCAAAATAAGAAAATATTCGAATTTTTATTTTCAATCAATTTTTTTTTTTATTTCAAATATTAATATTTTTGTAGTATAACAATTACATTTCATATATTTTTCGTAAAATATAATTTAGAATTTATTATATTGGTTTTAATCTATATTTTGTTAACCTGAAAGATGCATGAATGGTAAAGGATAAAGAAGATTTCCTATACTTTATATTTTAATTAAATTTATTGTGGAATTTAGTATTTTGAATTTTTATATTTTTTTTTTTATATAAGCATTCATCAATTATTATTTAAAAGATGTAGAGCTATAATAGTAGATAACAAAAATTTTTTTTATATAATTTAAGCATTTTTTAAACATTATTTACTTAAATTTTAATAATATATTATGTAAGAGTAAAAAAAAAACACTTAATTTGTAAATAAATAATTAAATTTTAATTTTATTTTATTTGTACTTGTCTTACTATTTTTATTTATTTATTATTTGATTTTCATTCATTGTAAGATTAGTTTATGTAGAATATTATTAAAAACAGAAATTGTACTTATTGCATGTTTTTTTATATAATAATTATATTATACATAAATATAATAAAAATTTCTTTTTAATGATAAAAAACAATAAATGAAATATTTTGTTTCAATTTATACTTTAATATTTATATGCTTTTTTAAAATTATTATATTAATTGCAATAATTAATAACATTCAAATAAAAATAGAATTGCCTCAGACTATAAAACTATTCTAATTCCATTTTTGAAAAAAAAAAATAGTTTTTATTACCCATTAAATTTTAAATATTGTTTTTGTGTAATTTTTAATACTGATGTAAAAAAGGAAGTTCAGTCGGGTTTTTTTTTTTCAAATATTTCACAAATTTTTAATGAAAAACTATGCTTAAAGCGACTGATTTCGATTTTGATTCGCTTTCTTAGCACAAAGAATGGAATTTAAAAAATAATAAAATTTTTACTTACAAAAACCTTAAATTTTATTCTTTTACAACCGAAAGAGGATCAAAACACTCTAAAACACTCTCTTGCTCAAAAATATTACAAATTTTACTTAGGGAGTTTCTGATCTGAGGCGACAATTATAATAACATAAAAATAATTAATTAACTATAATTTTTTATGAAATAAATAATTTTTTTTAATTATATTAATCGGTTATTATATGAAAATCTTTACTCCTCTCTATACATCTATAATAATATATTATATAATAACAATATTACATTTAATATGGAATTAAAATAAATGATTTACAAATATAAATTACTCAAATAGACCAATATTATAAGCGTATACAATTAAAATATTTAATATTAAACAATGAACACCAAATAAAAATATTCAAAATATTTATAAAATATATTTATATATATATATGCAATATTATAATCGCTATTTAATTTAATTAAAATTATTTTTATTAACAACAAAATAAATTTAATTAAAATTATTTATATTATTATTATAATTAATATTTAAAATATAATACAATTAAAATTTTATTTTGAATAATTTCAATACTAAAATTAGATTAAATTATTTGGGCTAATCGATGTTAGTATATTTATTCGTAATGTTAAAAAAAAATAAGCATCATATTATTTTAGAACAGTAGATTAATAACTGTAATGCTGTTAACAACTAAAATAACATTAATTCTAATTGAAATAATTATATTATGCAGAATTTATTATTGAGAACGATAATCAAATGTTGTTCTAATAATTTTGTGTTTCCATTCGACTGTATAACATTATGCAATAATTCATTGAAGACTTTCTTTGAAAAAAATTACCGCTTGAACAAATTTTAAGAATTTTGTATTAATTCTTACATTTTCGAATTAAAGTTAAGAACAATTTTAGTATATTCTGTAATAATTCTAACTTTTTTTAAAAATTAGACCTATTCTATATCAACAAAATTTGGTATTTGATTTTTAAAAAATTCCTAAATTAAGTTTTAGTACCACCAAAAACAATAAATTTTTTTTATTTATATAGGTAATAAGTTGTTTTACAACAACCATTATCACTTTTTGAAATAATTAAACAGAAATACTTTTTCGACGTTTCTTTGAGGCCGAACGTGTTAATACGATTTTTTAGTATAACGAAAGCTGCAACTGTTTATTTATAAATGGTTTATCCTAATATTTTTTGTATAGTTGTGTTTACTTGCGGAAGATAATTTTTGAAACACTCTCTTTGAGCTTTATAACTTTTACTCAGGAATATTTTGACAATTCGATTCTGCTTTTTACCAAGCCCTAAACTAACCTACAAGAATACTCAAAATTGAAAAAGTATGAACTCTTCCTGAATGATATTGTAGAAAAATTTAAATCATAAATTTATAAGCACTATTTTTTTTTTGTATAAAAAATAAATGGAAGGTTCCAATAACCTCAGATAACAAATCTATTTGGCAAATTTTTTTTACATTGCTACGGTGTCCCGAACTTTAGCATGTTATGTAATGTTCTGTAAGCTTATATATTTTACTGCATTGTTCAGTTCTATCAAATTATAGTATGCTCTTACTAAGTTAATATTCACCAATATTAGAATTAAATATTACTAAAAATTAATTATTCTTTTCTGCACATTTCTGCACAATTTTTTTTAAAAAATTGAATTTTACGTTTTTATTTTTTCATTATATTTACAACCATGAAATGGAATATCATTTTATCTTTCTACCAAAATGAAGACAAAAAGGAACCAAAAAATTTTTGTTATCATCTTCACTTTATGTTTTTCCACCATATTTTGTAAGGTTACAATATAGTACGCGAAAAATACAGAAGAAATACAGAAAATACAAATATACAATATATTCCATTACACACAACTAAAATAATATTTCCATCCGAAAAAAAAAAAAATTAAATTTTCATACAGATTTCCGTTTCCCATTTTTTTTTATCCCGACATACAATAATCTGTACCTACTTATTGGAAATTTTAATGGTATCCAATTAAATTAAAACAATAATCATTTGAGGCAGATATATAAAAAAACTTTCATGTTAAGTTTAAATTACAATTGAATTTGTTAATAATTAAAATAATAAAGAAAAAACAACGTGGGTACCTCACACATAAGCAAAAAATAAAACGATAATATAAAATGCATTTAATGAATTTTTTATTTTGTGCAATAAAGCAAAAAATTTAAATATGAATTAAACTATTGCATGTGTACGTACAAAATGCGAATAACATCAGAGATACAAAAAGCCAAACCTCCGTTTTATCAGAAAATTTCTGTGTGCATCTCATGCATTGCACATATTATTTTTTTTTTCGTTTACAGAAAATATAAATGCTCCAATAAATAAATGGAACATAACCGAGTGAAATACATCCCGCTGTTTCTTATATTGCCCCAAAATGTAAATTTACTTTATAGTGAGGCCTGAACTTCTGACATCCGCATTTCCGAAAAAGTTATAAGAATAATGCCAAAAAATACGCAATTGGTATCCGATAAATATTAGTTTCCGAATAGTTTCAAACTTCTTAATTTCCCATTAATTTAAGCCTTCTATTTAAACAGACGCACGAACAAATGGGAAATCTAACAAACAAGATGGAATCAGTGTTTTTCCCTTATTTTATTGGAATGTTCTTAAATCCATCTTCATAAATAATAATTTCATTCAAATTTAAATTTAGACTTTGATTGAATTCTTTTATTTTGAGTTTCCGTCACAATGTTACAATGCATAGGTATATATTTTTCTTTCTTGGAATCTGGTGTGAAGAACTTCCTTCTGTTATTCTTTTACATACATTATACTATAAATTTGAATTATCTTATAGAGGAGTTCAGTTTAAATATTTTCATTTTAAATTACATGAAATGAATAATTCACTCGTAAATTCATTTTAATGATTCACTCGTAACATGTCACCTCTAATATAAATAATGAATATTTTTGAAATCTCATTAGAAATAACATTCTAAATGACTCTTAACTCTAATAATTTCAAGCAGAAAAAGTTCTTTGCATATACCTACATTACATAAGCTAAGGAAGAGTTCATAAATACGATATTTGCTTGGAATATTTACCTCTATCTGTTAATAATATTTTAAAATTATTATGAACAGACCCCAAAAACAAATTTTTGCAATAAAAAAAACTATTCTTCTTTTTAAGTCTTCATACTATTCACAATTTTATTTATAACTATAATGCTCTTTACATGTCGATAAATAATTTTATTCAATAAAATTAATCAGAAAAAAAAAACAAAAACATCCTGAAAAATATCCCCTACAATGTTAAATACATAAAATATCTGTATTTGTAGTTATAAATATAATGTAATTTTTAATAAACTGAAATTTAATGGGAATTTATTGTTTTGTTTTTTTATTATGTATGCAAATATATTTAACAATAAATAAGCTAGAAGAATAAAATAAAAACTTTATGATCTTCTTTTATTTTATTGATTTACATACACATAAATATGATATTTAATAGGATAATAAAATGAAAATAAAATTTGTTTATTGCAAAAAAATTGAATCACATAATATTTGAATAATATTATAGCCAATATATAGCGGCATCTTTTTGTGCCCGACTATGTGATTTTTAGGGTTGATGTTGAAAGTGTCACACCAAAAAGTAAATATTTCGTCATCCATAGATATATTTGCTCTCAATTGAATTCAAAGTCAATGGGC